CCCCCTCCCCCCCCAACCTCTCCTCCCCTTCTCTACCACATCCACTGCCGATGAAAAGGGTTGGCGCCAAGAAATATCCCGAGTGGTCGTACATGTGGTAACGGTAAAAACCCGTTGGTAAGGCCAATGATGGCTCCTTTTTCTGTGAAAATTCGTTTCATATACGTTACAAAATAGGCCCTGGTACCAAGAACCAGTACTGATTTACCATTATTAAATGACATATTATTATTATCGTTAATATCATCATTTCTGTTATTATCATTGCTATTATTATCATCATCATTATCACAAAATATACCTTCAAAATAGTGCCATATTTGCCAAAATGTTCCTTGAACATCTCCTCAGTGTGCTCCTCACGAACGCCCGACACATACAATCGCTTGGATGAAATGTTCGCCTCGCTACGTTGCGATTGCTCACGTGGCACAGCGCGTTTCGGATCCACCGTTTTACCATCAATGATATGCGGGCGATTTGCCATTGCCGCATCAACCTGATACAAAAAAAGTCATCATCACTGCTCACTGAACCTCACTCTTAACATATTAACGTTGCCGGCTTCTTCAAAGGTATTGATTACCGTGAACTGATCCCTTTTTCAAAAATCGCTCTGACCCAGAAGAGAATCGAACCAGTACACTTCATGTCCAGACACAATGCGCTACCACTACACCATCGGTCCTTGTGGTCCAAGGCTCAGCCTGACAGCACATCTACTGTGTATCTGCCTTACAGGGCAAGATATGTCTCCCTCCTATCCTGTCTTCTTTGTGGCGCCTCTTAGCCGGCTTTTCGTGGATTTTCCGCAATATTAGTTCCCACAAGTCTTTTATATATTCCAAAACACACACACAGATATCACTGGTACATTAATGCTATTCGGAAAAGTTAAGATTTGTAAATTCTGTCATGTTCTATCACATTACTTAGTACTTTTGAGTTTCACACTTACCTCCGATTGCTTTGAGAAGCTAACGAATCCGAAACCGCGCGATCGTTTGGTGGTCGGATCACGCATAACAACGCAGTCCACCAGGGTACCCCATTTGGAATAGTACTCCTTGAGTGTCTCATCGGTGGTGGAGCTCGTGAGGCCACCAATAAACATCTTCCGATACTGCTCCGGCTCCAAATTGCCTCCGGCCGCATCCTTAACAATCATATCATAGAACTACTGACAGCGACGAAGAGGACTGACCTGAAGAGCCGGGTACATGCATCCTCGCGTTGCTTATGCTTTCCATAACCCAAAACCTCCAGGAAAGGCAAGTGAGGGGAAGACTGGTTAAGCTCTCGAGGCGTAAAATTCCACGAGCAAAAATGGAAAGGCCATATTCCTCACGTAAGACAACACACACATCGAGCGACGATCCCAAATGCATAATTCCCGCAGAAAAATGAGGGATAGCCTTTATGGGAGGTGTTCCTTAGAGGAGTTAAACAAATTTTGAGCTTTAATAGAAGAGGCCGGGGAACACTCCCTGAAGCCCAGCTCCCCAAACACACACTGAACGGAACTCCGGATTCAAACCACGCTACAACAACCGTGAGGGAGCCCCAAAATCTAGACCAGCACTTCTCGGGAACCCTTATATATCTCAAACTTATGTTATCTTCCGGGATTTCCGACCGTGCTAAAAAAGACTCGGAAAGCAATTTCTTCTGTGCCCGATGCTGCTAGAAATATACCTCACAGTGCGAAAGAAAAAGCATAAAACGCGCAAAATGAAGCATCTTACCAGGCCTGCTGTGAGTGTATGAGTGGAGGGAGAAAATACACATAACTCTAGATGTTGTTGTTGCTGCCGCTGCTGCTGCTACTATAAATACCTGGACTCTTTCTTAGGCTATTCTGTATTAGCTTACCTGAGATTTTTCGATAGTTCTTTTTACCTGTTCCTTTTCCAAATCAACAACAACAACCAACAAGTAGCAAACAAGTGAAACAGCAGCGGCGTTAAGAAGATAAATCCAACCAGTACCAATGAATTTGAGTAATTAAGTAATAAATTAAGTAGAGACAGAAAAAAAAGTCATTAAACTAACCAAGTTAAGTAATTACAAGTAATTTCAAGTAAATAATCAAAAGAATTAAGTTACCAAGTAATTAAGTAAAGTAAGTAATTCTTACTCCGTTTTCTTCATTCTTCACCATATTCGTAGAGCTCCCAGTATCTCTGTCTCTGTGTGTTTTGTGTCACCTTACACTGACTGCCTGATAGATTACTGAGTAGTAGTGAAGTTATCGAGATTCCCTCTTTGCTAAGTTATCACTCACTGCCTGAGATTGCCTGATGAACTGCACCTCAACCTTACCGAACAATCTACAAAAAAAAAGAAGTAAGCAATTCTTAAAAAAAAATTAAGTACCACAACAACATCATTAATTATTAGCTCGTCAATATCCTGTTTTTTTTTTTCAAAAATCCTTAACTTAGAAAAAACGAGCCACCTCCGTCCCCCCTCTCTGCCCTCCAAATCCTCTCTCGCCCCCACCTCCATCTCCATGTAAATACACGCCACGGAACCGCAGCAGCAGGCCCCAACCAGAAACCACAAAAATAAATAGCACCGCGCACCAGAC